TATGCAGATAAAGCACCATATACATAAAATAAATAAATCTTTAAAAAAAAATCAGGTTGGAGAGATAGCTCATCAGTTAAGAGCACTGGCTGCTCTCTAAAGGACCCAGGTTTGATTCCCAGCACCCACACGACAACTCACAACTGTCTGTAATGCCTGTTCCAGGGGATCTGACACCCTCACAGATGTACATGCAGCAAAATACAAATGTACATAAAATACAAATAAATTGAAAAAAAAAAACCCACTTCATTATCACTTTAGTATAGTTTGAGAATACAGCATAGATAGAACGCACAAATTCTGTCCTATTTAATCAAGGTGGCATGTGGTTATTTAGTAAATCAGTATCGTAACAGCTTATAAGGAGGATAAGAGGAGAATACAATTAGCCCCCTCTATCCGTGGGATCCACATCTCTGAATTGAACCCACCATAGCAGAAACATGTGACGGACCAGTCAGATGGCTCAGCAGGTTCAAGTACCCGCTGCCAAGTCTGACACCTGAGTTCAAGGCCAGGACCCACATGATAGAAGGAGAGAGCCAAACCCTGTGAGTTGTCCTCAGACCTTTGCACACATGTACACATGAACGCACATACACAATAATGAATGTAATACAAATTTCTACATCTACTTGAGGGGAACATTGCATCTCTACTAAGCATGCTTGTATTGTCCCCCATTATATGCCCTAGATAATATAGTATAGCAACCATTTATGGAGCTTTTATATTGTGTTGTGTATCCTAGATAATATAGAGATGGTAGAATAGAGAATCCAGAAGAGTCCTGGGAATCATCCCCATGTGCATACCCAGGAGCAGCTGTGCAAAACTAAACAAGAAAAACATGTTTTATTTTCCCCCTTTCATACCCCCTCATCTTTCTGGGTAGTTACTTTAATTTTGATCAGGAAGATACATTGTCTTCAACTTCAACATCGTTTCCTTTCTCAACACCAGAGAATTTCCGTTGCCTGTGCACCCATGAAAAGGGCTTTGGCTTCAAGGGAAGTAGCTTCCACCGCATCATCCCGCAGTTCATGTGCCAGGGTGGTGACTTCACAAACCACAATGGCACTGGGGGCAAGTCCATCTATGGGAAGAAGTTCGATGATGAAAACTTCATTCTCAAACACACAGGAGCAGGTAAGCACTAATTCTGGTGTGGTGAGTAAGGCGTGGCCAGGGCAGACTGACTGCCACAAGTGGTCGGCCAGCCTTGAAGAAACAGATGCTGGGGTGAGCTGCTTGCCTCCAGCCTTGTGCTCTTCATGTCCCTCCTTCATTCCACAAGCTGGTGTTCCCTGCTAGCCTAGAGTCTGGTTATCTTTGCAGGTTCCCTGTGCCCTCAACCTCTGCATCCCTTTATGCCCCCAGTCCCAGTCAGAGATCCCAGGCCCATGCCTGTTGTCTTCTGAGACCTCCATATTGATCTGAGGTCTTGCCTCCTGCCTACCACAGGTGCCTGCTCTGACTTCCCTCCTTGTACAGAGACTGACCATCCCTCCTTATGAGGGAGTCTGTCCCTCTGCCCTGCTTAGGAAGTTGGCATCTTCTGCTGGTTCCCTTTGACCTATATAATGTGTTTCTCCTGCTTAGCAGTTTGGTCCATCGGTGTCCAGGCATGCGATCTCAATCCTTAAAGTAAATTATCTTTGGACTCTTGTTCCTCTCACCGGCTGTCATCTTGACTCTAGTCCACTTTTAAGCAAAGCTTTTAGAAAAAATGAATAGACTCACTGCCTTTTTACTCTCTCGAAGTCCTTATGGGGCTGGAGAGATGGCTCAGAGGTTAAGAGCACTGACTGCCCTTCTGGAGGTCATGAGTTCAATTCCCAGCACCCACATGGTGGCTCACAACCATCTGTAATGAGATCTGGTGCCCTCTTCTGTGTACATAATAAATAAATATTAAAAAAAGAAAAAAGAAAAAGTCCTTCTGTCTAGACTTTTAGCCCCAGTTGGCCACTCAGACCTTTCTTGCTAAAGATGCCAACCATCTTTCTTGGCAGCAGCCAGTTTTCTGCCTCACCTTAGTCCATCTCCAGCAGTATCCTGTACTGTTGGCCCTGTGCTCCTGTTTCTCACCTTGCTCTGGTGGTCGGCTCCTCCATCTTCCAGTTGCTTTGCCCGCCACGCTACTTTCTTGACTTGCTGTTTCCCGCCTTGATTCCTAAGCATGGCAGTGGCTCAGAGATGAGTTGATTTCTCCATAGAAACCTGTTCACTGTGCCTTTGTTTTCTTCCTGCAAGTTTGTGCTAGACTGAAGTATGGGGGCAATACTTCTGCCTACATTATCTTAAAAGTAAGAATGTTGTAATAGGTGCAGTTACACCAGAGGACACAAGAGTTATTCCGCTGTGTGCCACACTCAGATGCAGCAGTTAGAAATAGGGAGATGTATCTGCTGGTGATTTGAACACCACAGACAGTGTTGCTGGTGCTGACTCTATTTTGTGAAATGATGAATGAGATTGCATTGATTTATATTGTAGTTGTAATTCCTGGGTTGTTTCTTTGTCTTTGTTTGATCTTAATTTTGTTTTTGAGACTCGGTCTCACACTATGTACCCCTGGTTGACCTTGGTGGAACTTGACATATAGACCAGATTAGCCTGGAAATCAGAGATCCACCTGCTCCAGGCTCCCAAGTCCCGGGATTAAAGGCATGTGCCACTATACCTGGCTTGGTTTTTGTGTTTTGAGACAGGGTCTTAGTGTGTAGCTCAACCTAGCACTGAACTCTGGATCCTCCTGAGTACTCTGCCTCCTGAGTGCTAGGTTTATAGGCATGCACTGTCACATCCAGTTCCCTAGAAGATTCCATTTTGGGGGGAAAGCCCTTAAGACTTAGAGTTTATGTAACTATAACAGACTTAGTTCTTAAGGGACTAGAGAGAGAGAGATGGTTCAGTGGTTAAGAGCACTGGATGCTCTTGGAGAGGACCTCAGACTTCACAGATTAAAATAGTTTTTCCCCCAACTCCCTTCATGTCCCCCTGTTTTAGTAGATGATACACTGTCTACTTGTACCTGGTCAAGAATTAGGGCTCAGGGGCTGAAGAGATGACTCAGTGGTTAAGAGCACTGGCTGCTTTTCTAGAGGACCCAGGTTTGATTCCCAGCACCCACATGGTAACTCAAAACTATCTGTAAGTCCAGTCTCAGGGGAGTCTCTTATGGCCTCCTCTGGTACCAGGCACACATGTGGGCCACAGACAAGCATGCAGGCACATAAACATAATTAAGAAAGAGAGAGAGAGAGAGAGAGAGAGAGAGAGAGAGAGAGAGAGAGAGAGAGAGAAAGAAAGAAAGAAAGAAAGAAAGAAAGAAAGAAAGAAAGAAAGAAAAAGAAAGAAAGAAAGAAAGAAAGAAATGAATGATGGTGCACGCCTTTAATCTCAGCATTGGGCGACAGAGGCAGGCAGATCTGTGAGTTCGAGGCCAGCCTGGTCTACAGAGTGAGTTCCAGAACAGGCTACTGAGAAACTTGTCTCGAAAAAAGAATTAGGGCTCATCTTGGATTCATCTCCCCTGTCAGCCATAGCTGTTGCCTGTCTCCAGCTCCTGTCCTGGCCCAGCTTCCCTCCTCCCCCACGTGATTGCCTTAACCTCTCTTCCCAGCACAGATATCCCTGCATCTTAGTTGTCACAGCACAGCATCCTTAAACACATGTACATATTTATCACTTGTGTGGGTTTGTGTGTGCTGTGCATGTGTTTGAGTGCCAGTGCATGTACTGCAGTTGGTGTGTGGAGACCAGAGGACAGCCTTCAGGAGACCGTCCCTTTTACTGTAGGTTCTGGGGATGAAGAGATGAACTTGATTGTCTGGCTTCTACAGCAAGCACTTTCTCTGCAGAACCGTCTCCCCAGCCCATACAATTCCATTTAAATGAATGGGCCTGGTTACACAGTAAATAGCAAGTCATTGTTACAAATGAAAAGAACATGAACAAAATGAAACAGCCCACTGGTCCTTTTTCTATGGTGAGGAAAGATGAGGTGATACATCTCAGGGTCCCTGTCCTGGAGTCTGAGCCAGCATGCAGAAGCACTGTCAACAGTCAGCATAGGCATGTGTCATGGGTTCAGGTCCCTGTCTTGGAGCCTGAGCCAGTATACAGAAGCACTGTCAATAGTCAGCACTGGTGTGCACCATGGCTGGAAACTGGAGGGAGCTGAGGAGTCTTATTTTCTCCCAGGCCTTCTCTCCATGGCCAATTCTGGCCCAAATACCAATGGCTCCCAGTTCTTCCTGACCTGTGATAAGACGGATTGGCTGGATGGCAAACATGTGGTGTTTGGGGAGATCACTGAAGGCCTGGATGTCTTACGGCAGATTGAGGTAGGTAGTTAGAAATGGCTTCCTGCCTGGACCTGGAATGGGCTTCCCAGTGGGCGAACTGGAGGGGGTTCTCTGTGGCTGTGGAAGGGGGCATTTGGAAGAGGTCCCTGTTGGGGAGAGGGTGATTGCTGAGCAGCTCTCAGCCCTGTGCCTCTCCTGATTTCTCCATTCTGCCCACCAAGGCTCAGGGCAGCAAGGATGGGAAGCCAAAGCAGAAGGTGATCATCGCTGACTGTGGAGAGTATATGTGACCTTCGCTCGGCTCCCACCTCTGGAAGACAAGGACGGAGCTCTGGCCTCTGGGGCCCTGGTGCTGACTGGGTCCTGTGAAGCAGTTGTGTGTGGCCCAAGCCCTTCTTTGGGGTTACCTTCCTTAGCAGCAGCTCCTCTGCAGTGCCCAGGCTCTCTCTTTGGACGTGGCTGGGCCTTAAAGCCAGCATAGGCAGTGTGCTGCTGTCTGTCCTGGGCCGGCTCTAGCCACTGGGTGGCTTTGCTGAAATAAACTGGTTTTTTGTACTGTGCCTCCAGCAAGTTCCTGGGAGTTATCTGTTAAGAGACCATGTCCATGGCTAAACTGTCCCCTGGGTGGGATGGCAAGTCTGTGAAGGTGTAATACCTTCCCATGGCTCGTTCCCTTCCATGCCGGGTCATGTGTCTTTATGCCAGATGTCCTTGTCAGATCATGTCAGGGCAGCAGGAATCAGAGCTGCCTGCCTGGTGTCGGCCTCAGCGGCTCTGGTATCTAACGTTCACGCTGTTTTCTCAGGTTTTTAAAATGGTATACTATGACTCAAAGAGCCCACTCTGCCAGGAGACAGGAGGTTGGCACACGACCTGGGCTTTAGGCAACCCGCTGCTTGTTTCTGTGAAGAAGATTTTGTTGAGACAGCCGGAGCCATTTATGTTCCAACACTGCCATGGCTGCTTTCTCATTGCAGCAGTGGAAGCAAGGAGTTGGTGACTGACCGTGTATTTTACGTGTGCTCAGGGTTTGTGTCGGTGTGTGTGTGCGCGCACACGTGCATATGCATATATATGTGTGTATATATGTATGTACACATGTGGACTGACTAGGGAATTGACTCCTGTTTATGAGGAGTAGCAGGTCATGTGTGCACAACAAGCAGCAGACTGGAGACGAGTGAGAAACATCAAGTCTTTGGGTAGCCTGAGTGCAGAATTCCTTGATGACGGTAATCTTTTTCCTCTCAGGGCTCTAACCTGATTCAATGATCAGCTTACCTACTCTGCCTTACACCACTGAATTCAGTAGTAATCTACCTAAAATATACCTGCACAGGGAACAGCTAGACTTGGCCCAGGTAGATTGACCCTGCGATATTCTTTATTCAGAGGTCAGCCTTAGTGAGCAGGAACCAGTGTTAGGACAGGCATTGGAAGTGAGGGACCACAGTACTTAGGACTTGTTCTAGAACCAGGACAGGCCATCTGTAAAGAACTTAGCAGAGAGTGCCAAGAGATGATGAGTTCCTGTGACAGTGGCCTGAAGAGTGGAGGCCAGGAGGCAGTTGAGGACAGAGACATACTGGAGCCTGTCCTGGCTTGGTTTCTGTTGCTGTGATAAAGCACCATGACCAGAAGCAGCATGAGGAAAGGTTTTGCTTGTTTGTCTTATACTTCTACACCATAGTTCATCATCCAAGGAAGTCAGGGCAGGAACTGAAACAGAAACATGGAGGAACACTGTTTTCTTATACAACCTGCTCAGGGATGGTACTGTCCACATTGGTTTGGGCTTTCCTCCATCAAGAAAATGCCCCACAGGTGTGCCCCTGTGTCAAGCTGATGGAGACAGTACCTCATTGGAGGGTCCCTCTTCCTGGGTGTCAAGTTGACAACTAAGATTAGCTGTCAAAAGCCCTGCACAGGTAAACCAAACCTCTGCCAAGGATCATCCGATTGGTGCAGTGGAGGTAGGGTGGAGCTTGTCTTGCCTTTGCTAGTGGCAGTAGAGTACCAATCCCCAGGGTGCTGGGTTTTCAGGGAAGACAGCTCTGGGAGGATAGCAGGGGCTGAAGTCCTTGATAGGAGACACAGTCATGGTCCTCTGCCAGCAGGAGTCAAGTGAGGCTCTGGAGCCTGGGCAGGAGTGCTCAGCAGCATTCCTCATCATGCGACTCCTTCTCTGCCGCCTGCCGCCTGCTGCTGCATGGACCATGAGCACCTGAAGGGTAATGCATTCTTTCCTTGGGGCTGCTTGGCTTTTGTTCTGGGGTCCTCTTGCCAACAATACCTTTGCTCCAGCACCAAGACAGGACGCAGCTTTGTGTTTCTGGCTAATGCTGAGTTGTACGCCTGCCTGTGATGGCTGTACCAAGGCAGAAGTGGGGACTATGGATCAGGAAACTGCTGGCGTTTCCTTAATGGCAATGGCTGAGTCCAGATGTCAAATCCACAACAGATTGTTCATCAGCTGGCCTCGCCTGTCTGGCCAGAGGTTTAGTGACTGAGATCCATAAATACACAAGGGTTTTGTTTGGTTGTTTTCTTTGTTCTTTTGAAAGATCTTGATATGTATCTTAGGCTGGCCTTGAACTCATGGGTAATTCTGCCTGTCTTCCAAGTACTAAGAGTGTGCATCACTATCCCTGGCTTTTCCATGTTTTTTTAAAATGCTTCTCCAGAAATCTCGTTTTATACCTCCAAGGGACAGGCCATGGAATAATGGAGGGAGTTGGTCACACCTAAGTATCTGGTGGATACTAAAGAGCCTGAGGTCTATCTAGTGCTCCAGATTCAAGTCAGGCCGGCCCAGTAGTCATCATGAATAGGTGGGTAAATTAGACTTCTGTGCCAATCCCAAAGGACTTTCAATAGATGTCCCTGGGGGAGGGGCAGAGATGGGCTGCTGCTTGGGGACTTAGGTCACCAGTGTTGTAACCAGGACCATCTTCCCACCCTTGGGCAGAGAAAAGGAACAGAGGGGTCAGGAGAGGGCCACGCCTGTGACAAAGGCAGAACATGGACATAAGAGTTGAAAACCCGACTTTTCCACCTTGGCCTTGGATCTGATAGGGTCTCTGTTTCCTGGTCAGAGGGGCTGACCAGATAATGGGCCATTGGCAGCAGGCTGCTAACTCAGTGGCAGCCACAGGCCTGGACCACCATGTTGCGCTCCCTGCGTAGGATGACATTGTTGCTGCTGTCGTAGTAGAGCACAGAAATGGCACTCAGCTCGGTGGGCACACAGCACACCTTGGGGACGACATCTGGCTTCATCAGGTGTACCTGGTAGGGAGGGCATGCAGATAGGGACATGAGCCTGATGGTCCCAGTTCCCACCCACTACCCTTCCAGAAGATCTCAGCCCCTTCTCCACCTGCAGCTAGGGCAGGTTCCTCCTTGCATATTTGCCCTGCCCACTGCCCTCAAGACAGCCCAGGCACCTGGCTTGGAGGGACTGATACAGAAGCCCTTTGGCACTCTCAGCCCCTGGTCCACTGTCACATCCACTTCTGCTGTGACTCAAGCTTACTGGTCCCCAGCATTGGGTGCCATGGGACACCCTCTGGTGCCTCACTGCCCTGAATTGCTCTGTCTTTTACTACATCCCCACCAGGTAGGTGTAAACTGTGGAAGGGGCAGTCTCTTTTTTGCAGACTGAACTAGAAACGTTTATGGAACAAATGTATAAGTTCAAGAAAGAGCTCTCCCCTTCTTCTTGTAGCTTAACCTCAATTTCTGAGACAAAGCTGTCTTTGCAGGTGATAAACAGGCTGCATGGAGTCCCTGTGGCTGTCTGATGGTGTCACTGAGCTTGAAACAGGTGCCGATCCTTCTACCCCTCTCTAAAGCATGCACATTCCTCTATCAGGCTGAGCATCTCCCAGGACAGTGGCTCCAGGCATCCAGCAAACACCAGTGCCCTTTGTGAAAGGATACTTAATAATGGCTCAAAGCAGCTTGTTAAGTCTTGATGTTCACGCTAGAGCAGTGGTTCTCAACCTTCCTAAAGCTGTGACCCTTTAATACAGTTCCTCATGTTGTGGTGACCCCAACCACAAAATTAGTTCGTTGCTACTTTATACTGTAATGTTGTTACTGTTATGGATTGTAAATATCTGATATGCAGGATATCTGATATTCAACTTCAAAGGGATTGTGACCCATAGGTTGAGACCCGCTGCTCTAGAGCATCATTTGGCACAACTGTCTGTTAGGTAAACACAAGGCCAAGGTCACTGGGTGCTAGGATTCCAGACAAAATGTTCTCGAAGGAAGTCTCAACACCAGGCTCTACAAAGCACAAATATATGGCAGTGGGCAATTGCATCTGCCTTCCTGCCAACACTTCTTCCATCACTGAGTGGCCCAGACTGCTGCTCATTACTACTATAACTTGTGAGAACAGACAGCCAGGAAAGAAGTGGGGAGCAGGGCCAGGAGGAGTGAAGGCCCCAAAGCTGAGGGTTCGTGAGTCCCCCAGCCAGGCAGGATGGATAAGCACATGAACATCTGGGAGGCCAGATCTACCAGGATACACAGGGCACATGGGTCATGCAGGCCCCTAGTGGGCACCCATCTGCTGTGTGCACGCCTCAGTCTGACTCCAGAGGCTGTATTACGTTAGTCCGGGACCCCCACAAGTCCACAAGTTCCCACCTGTGAATGTGCAGTGCACGTTGTATGCTTAGGTGTCTCTCCAGAGACACCCATGTGAGCAACAGCATTTACTGAGGGGCAGGAACCAAACTGCATGGCGAAGTCTGCAGATCAAGTTCCCTATGCCATTGTTCTTTCCACCCCCATGCCTGTCCAGTCCCTCAGGTCCCAAGAAGGTCACTGTGATACTGACCAGGGCCTGCATGGTGGCATGATTGGTAGAGTTCATGCAGGAGGTAAATGGGTAGTTGCACTCTCCAGCACAGTAATAGGCTGAGTAGCCTTTGGGGGCGATGACCGAGTCCTGTGGGTAGGAAAAGGTGAGTCACATCAGTGTCCTTCCATTGACCATCATCATAGGTCCTGTCACAGGATGACCTGTGCCTGTGAACCCTCATCCCCCTCAGTGACCCTCAGCAGGCAGGGCTGGACCCCAGCTCTGTCCTCCACACCTCACCCTCCTCTGCTGTCTCCTCCACAGCTGCCCCCATGCCTCCTGCAGCAGCTGTAGCAGGAAGAGCCCAAAGGCCCTGCCTCAGTTTCCCTGTCATAGTGCTGACAGTTTACTGGGCAGAGAGCTCAGGTTGCCCCCGTTTTCACGGCTTTCATGCACACTAAAGGCACAGTAGCTCCACCTCCACCCTGGAGACCCCAGGCTCTGCAGGTGGCATTCAGAGAGGAGAGGTAGAAATTACCAGCCAGCCGAGGTCCCGGAAGCTGACGTAGAGCTCATGCCTACGGCAAACATCTCTGCCTCGGGCGCCATGACCATCTGCAGGACAGAAAGGTGCAAAGTCTCCTCAGGGGTCCTGCTCTACGGAGTTGCCATGGTACTCCCGTGGGGGGGGGGCATGACAGACACATTTAAAAATGAAGGACAACAGGAAACTGAACCGTTGGGATCACAAGTTCCACTTCTGGATCCCTGCTCATGCCATGACCCAGCTCAACAGTCCTCCGTGGCTCCCCATCCCCACAGGGTGTGGCTGTGCTCTGGGCACTCTCGGCTTCTGCTTTCCTCTGCAGACTCTTGATTGCAGCCCACCCTCCCTGCCAGGCACAGCCCACCCTCCCTTCCAGGCACACACAGAAAAGGACAATGGGCTCTAATAAGACCTAGCTGACAGACTGGAAGGATTCAACTTGTAAAGGAGGCCTCAGATCCAGCCCGGCCCTTACCAGAGATTCGTAGGTGTTTGTTGGAGGGCTGCACCTGGGTAGTTTTATTTAGCTGCCTCCTCTTCAGTGGCCTTGCTGCCCGCGGGGCCCGCACAGGACTCGGGCTGGCCCTGAAGAAGGTGACCAGGAAAGGCTGTCTGGATTGTGGTGCTTGTTGTCCCAGCAGACCGGCCAGGCCAGGATCCATGCTGTGCCCTGGGAGACAGAGACAGAACAATAGACAGACTGACTGACTTGTGGGGGGTGGTGTGGCACCTTTGACCCTCAGTTTCCTCATCTGGGGACCAACCCAAGCACTCTGGCCAGGAGGTCTGAGGTGACAGGGACAGGGACCTCAGTAGCCACAGGCATTCCTGCTGGGGAGAACCTGACAGACGAGAACATTTGACAGATGTCAGGGTTTCGCCCATTAATGTCCTCAGTTGGTCCTCATAATAACCCAAGTCACAGTCACTCAGAGTCCACTGCTGGGGATGCTCAGGACCCAGACTTCCTTGGTCCGGTGATCTAACACCCAGGTCCCATCTTCATCCTGCACTTTCTGGGGACTAGAATGTGAGGTTCATGACACACCAGCTCATGGCAGCCTCTGCAAGGACATCGCTGGGCCTTATTCTCCCAGCACAACAAGCTTGATTATCCAAGGGCAGGGCATTCACTGCCCTGATGGACCTCAGGCTGAGCAGGGTCAGAGGTCAGAACAAAGTCCAGGGTTCAGTTCACATCAGGCTCATTCTAGTGCCAAGTGTGTGTTCACCAGGCCAGCCTATGGCTTTAAAGAAAGGAAGGGGCTTCAGGAAGACAGACCGGAGCTTGTCCACAGGAAGAGTGGAGCCTATAAAAGGGAAGGTGGTCCCCTGATCCATTAAGGACTGCAGGTGCCTCTACAGCACAGTCAACCCAGGAGAGCAAAGCCTCCTCCACCAGCTCTGGCTTTGCTGGTCTTCAAAGAAGCAAAAAGCCAAATAGATCTGGCTGCTGGTAGGTTACCTGCACTGCAGAGAACAGCCCCAAATCCAAGTGTGGTTGGGCAGCAGTAGCAGGGCCTGGGTTATTAATAACCAAAAAAAAAAAAAAAAAAAAGGAGACCATGAAGTTGGGAAACAGGGAGGTGCTAGGCGAATCAGAAGTAGGCAGTGGCCGGGCAGTGGTGGCTCACGCCTTTAATCTCAGCACTCAGGCAGGATGCAGAGGCCAGGTAGATTTCTGTAGTTTGAGGCTAGCCTGATCTATAAAGCAAGTTCCAAAACAGGCTGGGCTGTTACGTAGAGAAATCCTGTTTTAAAAAAACAAGAAGAAAAAGCAAGTTCCAGAACAGGCTGGGCTGTTACGCAGAGAAATCCTGTTTTAAAAAAACAAGAAAATGTAGGTCATGGTGGGTGGATATGATCAAAATACATTGTGTACATATATGAGATTTTCAAAGTATAAATAGAAAGGGGGCTGGAAAGATGGCTCAGTGGTTAAGAGCACTGGGTGCTCCTCTAGAGGACTCAGTTCAATTCCCAGCACCCACATGGCACTCACTGTTCAGATGGATCTGGTTCCAGGGGTGCATGTGATGCACATATCTGTGCATGCAGGCAAAATACCTATACCCATAAAATAAAATAAATCGTAAAAAACAAAACAAAAAGTATTGAGAAACCAACCAAATAGTCAAACAGTATAATAACCACACAAATGGTCTCAATAACCACACTCACACACACACACACACACACACACACACACACACACACACACACACAAACACACACACGCAGCAGCTCACTTTGGGTGGGCTCACCTCCCACCAGGCAGTCAGGTTCCTTTCTGGAGTCACGACAGGACTCAGAATCACTTCCCTTTGTGCCTGTATGAGATTCCTTACACCAAAACCCAACAATGCTCACTTTATAGATCATTAAACACAGTGCTGATGTTCAACTGACATGTTACAAGCACCGATGCACACATGTACATGCATGTATGTGCATATATAAAATCTCAGACACTAGTATGCTCCATGTCCCAGGTTCCACCCAGTGCTGGAAGAAATGTAAAAGAACCCGAAGGGCGAGGCCACAGCTCAGTAGCAGAGCACCTGTCTAGTAAGCTGAAGCCTTAGACAAAATCCCCACACAAAACTGTAATGAAACAGAACACACTCATGGGCACACTCAGGTCTGTTTGCTCCACTTGCACTCTTACCAGGCCCTTCATTACACATGGAGTCAAGGCCACTGTCTGCCTGTGGCGGACAGTCCACTCAAAGGTCAGCCCTTCAAGCAGCTGGACTGCACACCAGATGTCCACCAGGCACTGGAAAGAAAACTCCTCATTCCAGCCTTTGACCTATGACTTCACCTGCCACTAAGAAATGTGCTAGACTCGTGAGACCCCATCCCAGGACCGAGGCGGAGAGCTGTGGGGCTGCAGGCTGGCCCTGAGAAGAGACTCAGATGAGGTCACGCAGGAAGAGTGGGGCCCAGAGTGAAGACATTGGGGAAGCAGGTGCTGTGAGGGGGCAGAGCCTCAGGCACAGAGGGAAAGATAGGGAAGGCCCCAGGGCCACACATGGGAGGATGGAGCAGCCGTGAGCAGGAAGGGTGGTGAGAGCCACAGTGTCGGGCCCTATGAGTGACACAAGGGGCAGGCTGGGACCCGGGACAGGCCCCGTGGAGTCCCAGAGCCCCGGCTGCTTTGGAACACAGAGGCCGTCTGTGTTCCAGGCTCAGGCACACTTGTTTTCCTTTGATGTCACTGGTCTTCCAGGCTCGGCTGGACAGAGCAGTCCTTGGCTGAATTCCTCAAAGCTAGCCTGCAAGTGTGCTAGAGACCTCTGGAGGCTCTCAAGGCAAGGGGAGCTGGACTGAGAACCCGTGGATGCAGCTAAGTCAAGGTTCCCGTTTTATAGGCACACAAACTAAGACCAGAGACGGCATCAACTGTTCAAGGCCTGGAGCAAGCAGCTGCAGAGCCAAGCAACTCCTACCCTGCCCAGCACAAGGCAGAGGCCCAGTGAGCTGGAGCGGAAGCCCAGAGGGACTGATGCTGCTCTTCTCATAGTTCTGGATCTGATAGGCCTGGAGAAGCTGCTCACTGCCCAAACCAGAGCGCACCTTCCCTACAGCTCTGCTCCTTGACCCCATCATCAGCTAGGACCCCTCTGGTAGAAGGCCACCAGGCTTCCCAGCTCTGGACAGAAAAGCATGATGGGAGGCATGCTTGCTCAAGGCGCGCGCGCACGGACACACACACACACACACACCCCTCTATAACTTTCTTCACTTCCATCGTGAGAGTAAAAATTCAGAATGAGAGACCCCAGAGCTGCCACATTGGGGTTAGGAGGGGAGGCCTGCTGGACTTCCGGAACAGAATGTCAGTGTGGTATGGGCACCAGGAGACGCTGATGTTTACTAGGTAAGAACTCATCCATGACATTGATTAGATTCTAGACTCCACTTGTGCTAAGCCCAGGCCTCTTCCGACACACTCTGGGACTGTTTATGTACAGTGGTTTTTCAGGTGGAATACCAGTACCAACCATCTTCCCTCAGTTTCATCCCACGGGAAACAGGCCTTGCCTCTCTTCTGTGGACACTTAAGCAGCTCCCAGGAGGAAGTAGGGAGCGGGCAGATTCAGGGAAACAAAATTAGGAACAGAAACAAGGCCCAGGAAGAGAAGCCAGAGTGTTCGTCCTGCTCACAGATCTGCAGTTCTGCATTCCCCAGCAGCAGTAAAGTGGCACCGGGTGAACTCTGGATTTCCTCCCGCCTTTATGCTTGCCTCTGCGTTTCATGATTCAGTTATGAGGAGCAGCACTGGTGTTGAGACCTGTCAGGGGACACTCTGGAGCCTTGTATGTGAAGGTCACAGAAAGTGAGGGACGGGGACCAGTCTCCTCCATGGCTGTAGCGGAGGGCTTTAGTTAGGCACAGGACGCACAGGCTCAGTTTAGGAATTTTTTTTTTTCAGTTTAGGAATTTTAATTAAAATCACTCGGCTCTTGAGAAGATACAACCTGGCATCAGGAAGCCCGAGAAGCCAGTGGCACACTGGCCAGGTGCTGCTGCTCAGCATGTCCCCTGTGGTCGCTAACTCCTTCGCAAATCAGCCCTGGAGGGAGGGGGCGGGGGTCAGGGCTCCTCAAGCATCAGGTTTGATCTGCTGCATGGGCTTGAGGTTGGGGGACACCTTAAAGGGGCAGGCTGTGGTGGCCTTGACGTCGTCCACCGACGAGCCCTCCCACAGCTCCATCAGCGTCAGCCCCTTTTTCCGGTCCACACTAAACACAGCCTTCTCGGTGATGATGAGGTCCACGCAGCGCTTGCCGGTCAGCGGCATGGTGCATTTCTCCATGATTTTGGGCTGCTTTGTCTTGGTGCAGTGCTCCATGGTGACCACCACTTTGGTCTTGTCACTGGACACCAAGTCCATGGCCCCGCCCATGCCCTTCACCTTCTTGCCTGGCACCATCCAGTTGGCCAGGTCACCGTATTTGGAAACCTGCATGGCACCGAGCATGGTCAGTTGGATGTGTCCCCCGCGGATCATGGCAAAAGAGTCATCGCTGGCGAAGAAACAGCCCCCGGGTATCACGGTCACTGTCTGCTTGCCCGCGTTAATGATGTCGGGATCCACGTCTTTTTTCGAGGGGAACGGTCCCAAGCCCAGGATCCCGTTTTCACTGTGCAGGTAGACCGTCATCTTGGGGCTGATGAAGTTGCTGGCCAGAACAGGGATCCCGATGCCCAGATTGGCATACATGCCGTCCTCGAACTCGAGAGCCGCGCGCTTGATGATGCGTGTCCTGGCTTCGGCCTGTTTCTTGTCCATGGTCGAGGGCGGGCTGTCGCACGTGGTCAGGCGCTCGATGCGCTTCTCGTACTTCGGCCCCTTGATCACGCGGTCCACGTAGATGTTGGGGATGTGGATGTCCTCCGGGGCGAAAGAGCCCACGTCCACGATCTCCTCCACCTCCACCACCGCGACGTCCGCGGCCTTGCACATGGGCACGTTGAAGTTGCGCGCGCTGCCCCGGAAGATCACGTTGCCCGAGCGGTCGGCCTTCCAGCCCTTGACCAGGGCGAAGTCGGCGCGGATGGCGTGCTCCAGCAGGTAGTGGCGGCCGTTGAACTCGCGCACCTCCCGCGGCTGGCTCAGGGTGACCAGGTGGCCGTCGGGCGAGTACCGGATGGGGGCGCCCCCTTCCTGCACCAGCGTGCCGTAGCCGGTAGGCGTGTAGAAGGCGGGCACGCCGGCGCCACCTGCGCGGATGCGCTCGGCCAGGGTGCCCTGAGGCGTCATCTCCAGGTCCACCTCGCCCGCCAGGTACAGCTGCTCGCACAGAGCGTTCTCCCCCAGGTACGAGCACACCACGCGCGTGACCTGCTTGGAGGCCAGCAGGATGCCCAGGCCGAAGTCATCCACGCCCACGTTGCTGCTGACGATCTTCAGGTTCTTCACTCCCTTGGTCTTCAGTGCGCCGATCAGGTTCTCGGGGATGCCGCAGAGCCCGAAGCCCCCGAGCATGACGGTCGAGCCGTCCTTGACGCCCTCCACCGCCTTCACGGGGTCCTTGTAGAAGCGGACACGCCCGCAGCGGTCGCTAGCAAAGCGGAGGCCAAGGCGGTGGGGCAGCGCGGGCTGTAGGCGGCGGGCGGAGACCCCGCGCGGGAGCGCCCACGCCAGAAGCCTCAGCGCCGCCATGGTCCACGGGCCACGCGGTTCCCAGGACCGGGACAGAGAGGGAAAGGCCAGATGCACCCTGTGAGCCTGCCCCACGCTGCCTCTGCGCTGCGTCATAGAGCAGGGAGGACACCGACTGGGATCGCCATGGGTCTCACTGGCTGAGGACACCCTTGGCCATCCCTGCCTCTGGCCTGTCTGGCAAGAGTCTTGGACAGACACTGGAAACTCTTGGGAGAGCTGCTGACAACTGGGGCCCCATGGTACCCAGGAGAACTCACCTGGGGGCGTGGTTAGGATCCCCTACTGGAGGGGCTGAAGTTAGCCTGGTCTTTTAAAACCACAGTCACATCTGTCACCCACTGCTTTAAACTGCTCTAAACTCTCCAAGCACTTTGCCAGTTTTCCCTAACTCAGAGTGACCCCTGCCACCTCTCTGCCCTCTCCTTCCCGTTATCCCTCCAGCCTTTTGTTGGACCTGGGACAGGCCAGTCTCCTGTCCTGCTGTCCTTTCTGTCCTCACTGTCACCATGAAGGAAATGTCCCAGGAAAACCCTGCGAGTGAAGCAGTGAATATAAACCTGTGTAGACACGAAACTAAGTTCCAACACTGCAGAGCAGGGACAGCCCAGGCCTCTGCACTCAGAACCTGGGGTGCAGATCCCCCACGCCTCCTTCCTACTGCAGAATCTCTCAGAGTGGAGGCAGGAGCCTGGGGCCTTCCCTTGTCCAGGACCTCGCCACTCTACCCACTGAGTCCTCAAGAGAGGCCAAGCATGGTCCAGTGAGAGGGCTCCGTGAACTGGGCTGGCAGCCTCGGCTGGAACCACCTCCCACCGCGCCTGGGGCAGCTTCCTGCTAAGCCCTGGAGCCTCACCATCCTCGGTTTCCACATAGAGGCGGAGTCCCAGGTCCTTGTTATGGTTCAGCAACCATCGGTCACTGGCTGCTGTGATGTCCAGCACCAGCCAGCCTTCGTCCCCAGATCGAAGCGTCTGAAGATCCAAAAAGAACAAGTCAGACCCCCTGTGGACATGAAAGAACAATTAACCAAGGGCTGAGGTCCGCACGGCTGCCTGTGTCTTGTGCCTGCCTGAGGTCCTCTTTCAGAGCTTCTTCCCTGCTTGGCTCTGGCCTGGCCTCCTTTGGTGCCACAGTCCACTGATAACCAACCCCTGGCATTTTACTGTGTCCGTGTGCTACTGATGGGGACACTGGCTCAGTGGCTCAGTGGCTCGGTACTGTGGCCTATTGAGGGCTCCACAGTCATAGTGGCAGGGCAGGGAGTTCCAGGCCAAGCCCTTTTCTCACGTCTCAGGACCTCTCCTAGGAGGCGCCCCTTTCCTCTCTTGGAAATGCCCCCTCTGGACAGGCTCCAGCAGAGCCTAGGCCATGAGACCGTGAGGTGAGGTGGGCATCTGGGCAGAGTGGAGGTACCTGTTGGAGTGTTCCTGGACCACCTCGAACATGCTGACGTGGAGAGTTGTGTTGAGTGGGTGGGTGCTGGGTTCTTTATATATCCGGAACTCAGCAGCTGTGACAGCCTCCCCAGCAGGGATCTGGGTTAGGTCAAAGAGGAATTCCTTCCAGTGTGGCTCCTGGTAGTCCAGGGTTCGGTCTCGCTCCACTGGAAGACAAAGTGGGAGTGAGGTCACCACCAGGATCCAGGATGGCTTGTGCTCGGAGTAGGACCCCAGGCAGCCTGAGTGGGGCCCGCTCCTGCTCTAAGACGCACAGGCTTGTGGTCTGCTCTGGGAGCACACCAGGCCCAGGAGGTGGTATAGAGGGAAACCCAGCAAGTGCTCAGCAGGCCCCTGGACCCATCAGTGAATCCAAATGCCTTCTCTCAGAGCTCCCGAGCCTATGGCAAGGTGGACATTGGTCCCACGGCAGAACATTATCACAGTTCCAGGGTAAAACCCTGTCTACAGGGACATAATTGGCTGAATTTCAGTGGGACAGAGGACACCCAGAGCCCGCCCTTGATGGGGGGGGGCACTCAGATCTGACAGCTGAGCTGAGCTGTCAGTTCTGTTTGAATTCCCCTCGGGCTCCTGGGAGAGGGATGTGCAGAGTGCAGGCCACATTACAAAGTCGGCCGCGGAAGGACCTTAAGAAAGGGAGGGACACCCAGTGCCATCAACCAGGGGACAAAGGACCTACGTGTCCTCTAGGGTACAGAATAAAAGTGGAAGAACAGAAGTAGAAAGGAATAAAAATCAAACGTAGGATAACAAACTCCTGGACAAGCCATCAAGTGCTGGAGAAGTCTGCCCCACTGTGTTTTGGGAGCTAAACAGGCTTCTTGGAGGAGGGGAGCTTTCAAAAGGCCCCAGAGGATGATGGGAAGCAGTCTTAGCAGATGGCAAAGGGTACTCTAAGTGAGGAGAGATGCTGTGCACTGGTGAGGGGCTGCTGTGCACAGACCACCACTGTGGGGTGTAGCATTGAGTTAAGTGGGGGGCATGTCTGCAGTGAGCTGGAGCCCAGGGCCGAGAACACTGCTGTGCTCTGACCAGTGGGAGCCACATAGTGGGGGAGCCCAACTACAAGACCCCATGAAGGTGAGGGGAGGAGAGAATGGGGGTGACAGCTGAGGTGGGCCCAGGGTGGGGACAGCTATCAGGGCAGAGGCTAAATCTGAGAAATCCCACATTGGCCCAGCTGCACAGAAATGCCCACGGAAGAATATTTAGGGAAGTCTCCTCTTTCTTTCTTTCTTTCTTTCTTTCTTTCTTTCTTTCTTTCTTTCTTTCTTTCTTTCTTTCTTTCTTTCTTCTCTCTCTCTCTCTCTCTCTCTCTCTCTCTCTCTCTCTCTCTCTCTCTCTCTTTCTTTCTTTCTTTCATTTGTTGTTTCTGGGGACAGAATTTTTCTGTATAGCCCTTGCTCTGCAGACCAAGCTGGCTGGAACTCAAAGAGATGCACCAGCCTCTGCCTCCTGAGTTCCGGGATTTAAAAAGTATGCTACCATCATCCAGGCCCTCCTTTCACTTTCAAATGCCAAAAAACTCTGAGTTGCCAGTAAGCAGGGGATGAAGCAGCCCAGTGTCTTCTCCGAACCTAACAGAGATTTTAATTATGCATTTCCAAGTCTTTAACAATTCCCTCTGTGGTACTAGGCTTTCTGACCCCGAGCCAGGTTCTATAAAGCACCAGGTTGAACTGACAGAGCAAAGCTAAAGCCAGCTTCCTGTCTTTCCGTGAGGACCTAAGCTTGCAGTGGCCGGCACACAGCAGGGCTGGGGTGGACTGGGTGACAGGTTCACCTCTATAGCAGGTAGGAGGCTCCAGCCCCAGACCAGGATGGGAAGGATAGAGTCCCATTACACCTCAGCATGTCTCCGAAGTTTTACCGTCAGAGCAAGTGTTTTGGTGTCTTTCTCTAACAGCTGTGGTTCTCTGCTCGTTTCTGCACATCTGTCCTAGACAGTGGGAACACCGAGGTGAACAAGACAGGTAAGCCCAGCACTAATGGGGTTTAAAAAGCAAGGGAGAGCCAGGTGGTGGTGCACGCCTTTAATCCCAGCACTCAGGAAGCAGAGGCAGACAGATCTCTGTGTGTTTGAGTCAGCCTGGTCTACATAGTGAATTTCAGGACAGCCAGGGCTACATAGTGAGACCCTGTTGAAGAAGAAGAGGAGGAGGAGCAGGAAGAAGAAGAAGAAGAAAGAAAGAAAAAGAAGAAAAGAGGAATGTAATGATAAAAACAATCTTGTAAATGTGTGAGGTATAGGGTTTGATCCCACACCATCCCCCCCTCCAAAAAAAAAAAAAGTCAACTAGGGAATGTCATTTCTTTGTAGCTGATATTAAGGCAAGAGAAGGGGTCATAGGTTCATGAATGACGGAGAAGAGTTGGATGCTTTCCATAGGGTCAGTACAGCCTTTGAGAAAGTAATAGTTAAGATAAGACAGGTAACTGTCGCCAGGTAAGACAGATACAGATAGCAATGCTGTGTAGAGGCATTTTGCAAAATCAAACCATCGAAAGATATGCAAAAAGCAATGCCCTGGCCACAGAGAAAGCGACACTCGGTTCCACAGGTCCCTGTGCTGGCTCGCTTTATGTCACTTTGACAGAAGATAGAGTTATCTGAGAAGAGGGAACCACAGTTGAGACATTGTCACCATAAGATGGGCCTATGGGAAAGCCTGTAGGATACTGTCTTGATTCATGATTGATATGGAAGGACCCCGCCCACTGGGGGTGGTGCCACCCCTCAGCAGGTAGTCCTGAGTTGTTTAAGAAAGCAAGTTGAGGGCTGGAGAGATGGCTCAGAGGTTAAGAGTACTGCTTGCTCTTCCCAAGGTCCTGAGTTCAATTCCCAGCAACCAATGGTGGATTACAACCATCTGTGATGAGATCTGGTGCCCTCTTGTGGCCTGAAGAGATACATACAGACAGAACACTGTATACATAATAAATAAATAAATCTTTAAAAAAAAAATTATAAAAAAAAAAAAAAGAAAGCAAGTTGAGCAAGCCCCATTGAGCAAGCCAGTAAGCAGCATTCTTCTGTGGTCTCTATTTCAGTACCTGGCTCCAGGGTCCTGCCTTGCTTGATTTCCTTCCCTGACTTCCTTCAGTGGTGTAGTGTGACCAGGCTGTGGGTCTGTCCCCTCGTGTCAGTGGGGTGCGTCCCCTCTAGATGGTGAGCTCTTTAGGGCAGTAACTGAACATGGCTGGTGGACGGATGGATGGCAGCAGCCTGTTCATCAAGTCACTGTGTTCCGGGGACAGAGAGAGTGACCTTCTGTTCTTCCCCAGGACACTGGCTCAGTGTCCATCACTCACAGCTCCTGGGGACTGGGGTGCTACTGCTGGTCTGAGCGACAGCCGCGTCACAGCAAGTCTCCATCAGAGGCCCCTGGTGTCCGCACTTGCTGTGAGATTTGCCTCCTTCCCTGGCGGGGCCTTTGAGGGTGAGGACAGGTTCCCAGGCCCTGAGGAGGCGGGGCTGGGCATGACTGCCCTATGCAGCTGGTACCAAAGACTGAGGGCCCCACACCAGACTTACAAGACCCTGGGCTCCTGGGCTCATGCAGGATCTCAGAGGAGGGTGGGGCCCTGGGGTTGGTGACCTGTGCATTCTGCACCTGAAGGAATGTCTCCCACCAGGAGCCTCAGTACTGTGGCGAGACCCAGGCTCACTCCTGGGGTATTTCCCAGCACTCGGGGAGCAGAGACTGGATCTGCAGGGCAAGCGGGATAGCCAGCCAAACTCGGTAGAAGCAGTGCCCTCTCAGTTCTGAGACAGACCCTATCCCAATAAATAAAGTGAGGAAGGCACGGAACATCAGCTTTGCCCACCCCCAACAAGCATGTGCACACATGTGTACACATATATGCCCACACACATGAATGTGTATGCACAGATGTACACATAGTGCATACATAATTAAAATAAAAAATAAAAATGTGGGATTTTTTTTTTTTTAATAAAACAAGCCAAACGAATCTTTGCCAATAGGAATTACAAAGCCCTGGGGGCCTGGCTAGTAAAATTAGGATTCCCATACAAGCCCCTGCTTTTGGATGGTTTGAATTTTATATGACGAGCATGTGAAAATACTGTGAACTCAGGAACACATTATGAACAGGATTCTCAGCTTACTGCTGTGGGATGGTCTGTATGGCAAATGTGTTGCTGATTGGTCAATAAATAAATCACTGATTGGCCATTGGCTAGGCAGGAAGTGTAGGCGGGACAAGGAGGAGAATAAAGCTGGGAAGTGGAAGGCTGAATGAGAGAGACACTGCCAGCCGCCATGATGAGAAACAGCATGTGAAGATGTCGGTAAGCCACGAGCCATGTGGCAAGGTATAGATTAATGGAAATGGATTAATTTAAGCTGTAAGAACAGTTAGCAAGAAGCCTGCCATGGCCATACAGTTTGTAACCAATATAAGTCTCTGTGTTTACTTGGTTGGGTTTGAGCGGCTGTGGGACTGGCAGGTGAGAGAGATTTGTCCTGACTGTGGGCCAGGCAGGAAAATTTTAGCTACAGCTTACAGCATACATTCACATTTAGTCTAATACAGTAGCTCTTACTGCATCTAGGGACAGACAGGACAGGCCCCCAACTGAGGATGGAGGCAGCTGTATGGAGGGCATAAGCACAGGATGCAGACGAATTGCTGTGTGGCCTTGGGAATATCACCAACCTTCTCTGAGCCTCACTCTCCTGAGGCAGTACTGTGAATGCAAGTGCAGGGACAGATGTGGAGGTCTGGCCATGTGGTCAGTGCTGCTATCATCTCAGTCAGCACTGGAAGCCCCTTAAAGACCAACAGCTCCATTTCACAGAGGGTGAAACTGAGGCTCAGAGAGGGAAGCCGGGAAAGGCCAACCACAGTGAGAGTAGTCAAGAGGGGGATTCTCTCTGTGTGAGCCCCAGGTCAAAAGCCCCTTGACCCAGCCCTTCTCAGGTCCTCTTGTTTCCAAATTGGGGGTGGGGTGGCTATGTGTCACCCCCGACAGCCACCTTCATGACACATGTAGTCTCTCCCACCGGAAGGTCGTCACTGAAAGGACACAGGCAGTGCAGTGCCTGTTCAGTGTGACTTCCCCAGCATCTAAACCAGAGCCAGGCTTCCTGGCACATAGTAGGTACTACCTGACTACTTGTGGAAGGAATGGATGGATGGATGAGCGAGTGAGCAAAGAAATGACCGAGTTCCCTGGTAAAGGGTCAAAGGACGTGACCCTGAGGTCAGTGGTGAGAAAGCATCACCCTCAAAGTCACATGGCTGCAGGGACAGAGTGGGACCAAGGCCTGGTCTCTCATTCCCTCAGATCTGGCCACCACAGTTCATTGCTGCCCCTGCCTCGCCATCTGAGGCCCCAGAAGAAAAGCTCCTGGGCTGGGAAAGGGACCCATGCACGTGCAGATGGCTCCATGTGGTCCTGCCTGGACTCTGACTGTTGGTGCTATTTGTGCCTCAGTTTCCCCATCCAGAACACAGCCGCCTGCCTGTCCACTGACATGAGCAGAGCTGGTCCTTCCTGCCCCCTTCCACCCTTGGGAAGGACTTGCCCAGCCCACGACGGGGCAGTGAGGCCAGCAGGTGCCAATGAAAGAGCCGAGGATCAGGCCTGGGGGCATCTTGCTTTTCCGATACTGTCACAGCAGACCAGAAACAGGACCACTGAGGGGAGCACACAATGACGGAGACCAGCAGCGACTGAGGGTGGGTCGGGAGGGGACGAGAATAGGGTCTGGTGCTGAGAGTGCCAACTTAGGTCAGGGACACCAGGGACAGGAGTCTGCTGTCACACTGCTCCACGGGGTCACAGCCATTGACACCCTGGGATGCTGCTGCTGTGGGTGGCATGCTGGTTCCCGGGCCCTGACCTTCAGGCTCGGGCCTGGGCTTGCCAACAGAAGTCATCTGGGTACGTGCCTGACACACGGGGCCTGGCACTCAGCTGGTAAGCAATCACTGTAGCTAGGAGAGTTAGTTGACTAGTGTGGCCAGTGCCTCAAAAAAAAGGGGGTGCTCTAATTGATTGTCCACAGTGAGTCGGCACCAAACAGAGGCCTGCTTGTTAATTCCACAGACCTTACTGGGACACTCAGGCAATGTGTGTGTGTGTGGGGGGGGGACACATCATGGTAGGAAACACGATTTGGAATCCATAACTATGGATGTGGCCTTCGACACATTGTGTCGGCCTGGGCTAGCCATTGAACCTGAGTTCATAAAGCAGGGCTTCCCATACAATTCATGTACTGTTGCTAGGAGCCAGTAACAAATGGAAGCATGTGAAGGGCCGAAGATCTTCTGGACTCTAAGAAAATTCTCAACACAGGACACGCAGTTTTTGGTTGGCTTTTAGCTGTTTCTAGGTTTAAATATGCACAAGACAGACATACAGGAATATCTACCTCATGCCCTCTTTCTGTTTTTATGTGTGTTTTGACACAGGGTCTCACTCTGATGCCCAGACTGGCCTTGAAGCTGTAGTAATCCTCCTGTCTCAGCCTCCCGGGTGCTGGGATTACAAGCAGAAGTCACCTTGAGCAGCTCACTTGAGAATTTTGTTGTATGTGCAAAGCTGAGCTGCAGGTAGCAGAGATAGGGATCAGCAGGGACTGGACCTGGTTCACCCTCCACTGGCTTCCTGCTCGTCCATTTGTTATCTCTAGTGATTTACCAGGGGTCCCGGAAGGAAGTGATGTGCGGCTTGGAGAGAGCAAAGGATGCCTCTCAAGGTGCGTTGCAGGATCCTGCTCTGTCCACCGCAACAGTTCCCACCAGGGCTGTTTCCTGTCTTGACCCAAGGAGAAAGTTGGGGGAGGGGAGTAAGGCATGGGCTGGGTGGTGACTCATTTTGATCAGAGGTTCCCCTAGGGGGACATTCTTGGACAACTCTATCCTCAGTTTTTCTATTCCTGCACTCTGGGCCAGCCTTCCTGAGGATGGAGGGCCAGTCTCGGTCCCACACGTGGTCTGTCTTAAGTACCCAATCCTGGTCTTTAAGCAGGAAGGCAGTCTCCGGATCCCACTGCTGCAGCCCCCTCCTGGCTGTGTGGGCTTTCAGTGCTGGCGAAGGACCGCCTGGGCCTTCACTGTGCTCTCCCTTACTATACCCACCAGCACCTGTGGACTGGAGAGTGCGGGTACCGCTGTCCCCCTTTCCCACCTTCAGGCAGGAAACAAGTGACTGGTGATACCATCCACCTGCTGCCGCCCCTTACACTCTGGAAAGTTCCTCTTACCCTGGAAGGGATGTCAAAAACTGAGCACTGGATACAGAGCCATGCAGCCTGGGCCTTTATCAGGCGGTTTACAGGCTGCCACTGTCTCTCCGCCCTTACCTGGGAAATAGGTGTGAAGATTGTGGCTGTTCCCCGTGCCCCTGGGAGGATGAACAACACAAAGGAACTGGTGGCCCCGGCAAGGTCCTTCCTCTCCCTGCTCTCAGCTCAAGGCCTGGTACCAGACCCAGTCTAGTGTCTGCTACACCCCAGGCTGCCTGTGGCAGACAGAAGCAAAGCAGATGGGGACCTGACCAAAAGTAAACACTCATGCTTACAGATAAAAGGCTTTGGGGGAAATGCCTTTAAGACTAGTAGGAGAATGTGGTCCCGAGGTCAAGAGCTACCTGGAGAAAGGAGCCACACTTTGGGAGATTGAAGAGACTCACAGCCTCACCTTGGGTCATTCACTGTCCTGGCCACTCGCTCTATGCCAAGCCAAGGTCCAATTGCTGGGGCCCAGGCCCACAAGACTAGTCATGGTCTGAGTCCGACCACTCCACCTCCTGGCAGTGCACCCCACCCACCCGCTTCCTGCTACACAGAACCTGCCGTCAGGGCGTACGGGTCAGCCCTAGTCACTTTGATGATATGCCCACAGATGTCTACACTGAACTTTGTCCCTCTCTTCAGAGCTGCGTTTATCACGACAGCATCACAGCCTCTGTTTACTCATCAGTCTTCAGGACCGACTGTTTTCCGGTGCCACCTAGGGGACCTGGGCATCACCAGATTCCCACTCTCGGGGAACCCGCTATAGCCCTCAGATCTTCCAGTCCTGACCCCTGCAGTCCCCTTTCCCGTGGTCGTGTCTGCTGCACCGTGTTTCTCTGTCCTCACACTCCTGGAGGACAACATTCCCAACAGGTGACTAGGAACGTCCTTTCTAGACAGGCGGCCATGAGCTCTCCATGTGGAGACTGAGGCCACCCGGGCCCTCCTCGCACTCACCCATATTGACGAAGCTCATGACCAGGTCGGAGCGCCCCAGGTGAGAATGCAGGGATCCACTGTCGTCGTCATTGGCCATGGCATGGTACAGGTCCAGCATGAAGAGCGGCGCGGACGCTGGCTGCCGGGAGGCAGCGGGTGGCACACGGGGTCGGGGCGGCTCAGGCAGCCCGAGCACCGCCAGGATCTCTCGCTGCATGTTTCGGCGCTCGTGTACTCCCAGACGACGCTGGGGAAAGACATATGGGGGACGCGGGCCGTGGCGGACGCCCAGAGCGCACAGAACCAGGCCCAGCAGCCAGAGGAGTCCGATCCGCGTGGCCATCTCGGATGCTCAGCGGACGCGCATCCAGCGACTCCCCGACAGCGAGGACAGGACGGCGCAGAGGATCCCCTGAGTTCGCACCTGTCGCTGGCAGCTCCGCAGTGACTGTGCGCCACGCGCTAGGCAGGCGATTGCCGCGCCTGTAGGACCGGCAGGGCAACGTGGGCTCCCGGGGCGCCGACCCGCGAGTGTCAGGAGCATGACCTGCCTTCGGGGGCTAGACCCAGGAGCTCTTCTCGGACCCGCCCTGCCCGGGCCACGACCAATGGGGGCTCGGGGGCGGGCCCAAGCGCGGACACCGGTTCACCTGGTGTCTGTACCGCTACTACTGCGCGGGGTGGTGGGAGCCACGGGTGCGACCCCGAGGTAGGTATCGGAGGGTCGGGGGTAAGGGGTTGGGGAGAGGCCATCAAGGGTGTCCTGGGTCCCCATCCAGCTGCCGGGGCGCACGCCGGGCTCCGTGCGGAGACGTTGGGGTCTCTGAAGCAGGCACCTGCGCCCCGGGCCGGGTTGTCCCGTGTGGGCCGGGTGGTTCCACGTTGGAGAGGATCCTGAGTCCCGGAGCTGTGGTAGGACCCACAACCACGCGTCTCCGCACGTGCCCATACTATCTGCCGTCGGGGCCGGGCGGATGCCAGCCATGCCGCGAGGGTGGGGCACATTCCGTCGCCAGAAGCAGCCAGATCCCAGCCTCCGCAGCTTGTCGTCTGCCAGGCGCCTTCCCCTTTTGCTTTCCTAGGAGCACAGCCTGCCGGCAGCTCCCTCCACGCGCACGCTCTGATGCTCCGGGGTCACACGCCTTCCGCGAGCTTCTGCCAGGCCCTGATGACCCAGCTGCTGAACCAAACCCGAACTGACTCTGAGGGCAACCCGGAGGAGGGATACCGAGGCACACAGAGCTTACATCTTATCTCGGGTCGCACAATAGTGGAACTGGAGGGCTGCAGGCAAAGGGTGGCTGCTGGAGGGGCTGCCAGGAGACAGACCATAAAGCGGTGGTTCTCAACCTGGGGGTCGAAAGACCTTTTCACAGGGACCACATTTCAGATATATTACGATTCAGTAAACAGCAGCAGAATTACAATTATGAAGTAGCAACGGAAGTAATTTTATAGTTGGGGTCATCACAATACGAGGAATTATATTAAAGGGTCGCAGCATTAGGAAGATTGAGAACCTTTATGGCTTAAAGGGCCTAACGGGCAGTATGCTACATGAGGGTTTTGACCAATTATGGATTCTCCAGTGTGGATTCAAAATAAAATTCCAAATGAATGTGTGATGGCCACCTTAAAATCATCTTGATGTGATCCTTTCAAGGTTTTAAATATCAATTAAATTAGTGTAATCTTTCAGTCATGTCTTGAGCACACACTAGTCTGTCTTATAACCAAACCGACAGATCAGTTGCCATACTGCTTCAAAGCTCCGCAAAGACGATGGATAATGCCAAGTAGCCATTGAAAGTGACTAGGTGAGACAGAGCCCAGGTCCTGAAGGCCAGTGTGGGATGAAGTGAGGAGGAGGGACTGGGGTGCTGGTGTTAGAGTCAGGTGAAAGTGGGGCGGGGGAGGGGGAGAGAGGGAGAGAGGGAGAGAGGGAGAGAGAGAGAGAGAGAGAGAGAGAGAGAGAGAGAGAGAGAGAGAGAGAGATGAGTAAACAGTGGAGTGGGAAAAGAGAGGGAAAAGCTATTTGGAAGACTGAATCCACAGGGCAGGCCTTGATGACTAAGGCGTATGGCTGTGTGTGTGTGTGTGTGTGTGTGTGTGTGTGTGTGTGTGTGTGTGTGTGTGTGTCTGTGTGTGTGTGTATTGCAGTGCTGGGATTTGCATTCAGAGCCCTGTACATGCTAAGTAAATGCTCAAGCATTGAGCTAAACTCTCAATTTTGTATATTAGTTATCACACACACAGAAGATCATATTTGCTGTAGTCATTTAATAATATGTATTCCCTTAGTGATATATTCCAACATTTTCCCATTGTACTTCTCAGATTTTTGAAACTGGTTTCACGGTACCTGTTCACCATATAGCTGCCATAATTTACTTAAAGAAGCCTATGATATTAAATAATATAGTTGTGTTTTATATTACATATAATGTTATGAACAGTCTCATAAAATATCCTGTGTCTGTCCATGGTGTCTTCTTCGGGATACGTTTCAAAGGTGGATATTTGGATCAAAATAAATACACACCTATTAGGTTTTTGACATGTTTGCCTGTTACTCAAATAGTGTGAGGGTTTCACTCCACCTTGGCAGCAGTGGACGTTGTTATCAGGTACATCCGGTAACAGGCTGGGGCATCTCTCTGCTGCCATCATCTGCATTTGGGAAATCAGCAGCATCTCTGCCTTTCTGAACACCCCACCCCTGACTTCAAGGGAAGACTTTGTTGATTGCTTTGCCTTCCTCCCTGCCCACCCTTAACTCAACAGTACTATTCTCTATTGGACTTTTGCCCTGGGGACCATCACAGGATTATTTCCAATGCAAGTATAGTCACAACACAGAGCTGGATACCAGGAGTTTAGTCGAAGATAGATTTGACATGACTTAAACCAGAAACTAGGGAGCTCACAAATATCCCAGCTTCCCTGTGATGCCTCATGGGTCCCCCAAGCAGGCTCACGAAGACTCTTCTATCCAGGGTGAGCACAACAACTTCTGCCTGATCTCCTCGTCCACAATCCCTCTCAGTCCGCCTCTCCTCACTTTCCCCTGAATGAATATCCAGGTTAACATCTAACTGGGCCAGTGAGAAGGCCCAGTGGGTAGAGCGGTTGCCATATAAACCTGAGTTTGGATTCCCAGAACCCATGTAGAGCTGGATGTGATGGCACACATCTGTAACCCTAGGGCTCCGATAGCAAGATGAGGGAAGAGACGAGAATCCCCAGTAACTTGTGAGCCAGCTAGCCTGGCCTATACAGCAGTGCACAACAAATTCTGGTCTCAGATAAGGTGGTAGATGAGGAAGAACGTCTGAGGTTTTTCTCTGACTTCCACATGCCTGCATGTACACATGAGCTCTCTCTCTCTCTCTCTCTCTCTCTCTCTCTCTCTCTCTCTCTCTCTCACACACACACACACACACACACACACACACACACACACAATCAGTGTGCAGTGGATTTTACTGTTTAAAACAGAATTTTACATGAAGTTTCTTGGTTTTGATTTTGGGTTTTGTTTTTGTTACCGGTGTATTTGTTACATGTTTCTTATTTGTATATATTAATAATTGTTGTTTCGTTTTGTATTTTTGAGACCCAACCTCACCATGTAGCCCTGGAACACACAGAGAACCGCCTGCCTCCGCCTCACGTGCCATCATGCCTCCAGCTGTTTAGCTTCAACTCAGCATCTTCCAAATTCATTGGGTCATGGTTTTGTTTTCCGAGGACCACATCCTGGGGGCCAGGCAGCCACAGTGTGATCAGGTGCCCAGCACTTGTCCTGGCATCCATCATTTGGCCCCAGGTGCCAACCCCCTCCAGAGTTCAAGCTGGCCATTATCTCATACCCACTGCTGCTGTCACATGGGACAACTAAATACCCCAGGTTCCCCTAAATACCCCAGGTGACATTCCTGTTCCCGTGAATTTCTGGCTTCATGGACTGAGAGTGACTGGTCTCATCACACCTGTCTAGACAGATGTCACCACCAACTGTCCTGAGTTCCTTTCTACCTGCATGGGCACGTCCATCTTCCCCACCTGTCTCTACCAACGTATTCACTGTGTCAGCTGAAAGGCACATAGACCTTGCTCCCTGAGCTGCAGTGGGCAGCAGGGGCAGCATTTTGTGACCCAAGGCCCTGCTCAATCCTATCACAGGATCCTAGAGGCTGCCTAGAGCAGATACTGCAGTGACCCCTTGGATGGCCACTGAGGGCCCAAAGGGTACCTCACTTGCCTCCATGGCTGGTGCCTACAAAAATACTGAGAAAATCCAGTTTATCATATTCTCAGGGTGCAGTTACACATCCTAAAGGAACAAATGAGCATAAGGACCCAGCAAGGCTTATGCTTCAACCCACGGCAACAATATTGAACTAAAAATCCATAAGCACTTTGTCTGCCTACCTGGGACATCACCAGCCACTGGGCCAGCTCATCTTCTGTTGCTGAATTCCACATAAAAGCCAGAGGTTCCTAGATGTCTTAATGGAAGAGGGTGGGGGCAAAGCAAGAACAAAACTGAGCGCGGTGGTGAACACCTGTAATCTCAGTTCTCAGGAAGTGGAGGCAGGAGACTCAGGGGTCTGGGGTTGTTCTCAACTACGTAGTACATTCAACTTGTCTATAAAGGACCACTATAGAGCCAGGCGGCTGTGGCGCATGCCTTTAATCCCAGCACTCGGGAGGCAGAGGCAGGCGGATCTCTGTGAATTTGAGGCCAGCCTGGTCTACAGAGTGAGCCCCAGGACAGGCACCAAAACTACACAGAGAAACCCTGTCTCGAAAACAACAACAACAAAGACTACTATAAATATGACATAGATTGGAATTGAGAGGGTGGAAAAAAAGATGCATCATGTAAATGAGGGAGCAAGAAGTCTGGAGTGGCTTTTCCGCTGACAGGCAAACTAGACGCTAGTGTAGAGAACATCAGACGTCAGGCGTGGCGGCTCACAACTGCAGTCCCCATGCTCAGAAAGCTGAAGAGTTCCACTTTGAGTCTGAGACCAGCCTAGGCTACAGACTATGACCAGTGAAGGTTACAGTCTGTATTAGGGGCACGGTGGAGGGGCGGGGCTCAATGGTAGAACCCTTGCCTGGCATGCAGAGGGCACCGTAGTTCCACAGAACAAGCTCAAGTCATGATAAATATTGCTGTGTCTGACTCAGAAGTGATTTAAACTCTTGTGCTTACTTTGAGAGTCAGTGGAAGCCAATGTCCTGGAAGGTTCCTGCGGAAATTAAATTCATGTTGTGATCCCAGTGAGAGATAGATATCAATGAATGAATGGGCCAGCTTTGCTCAGCCAGACA